CGTTCAGAGGCCATTTATAATATTTATATTTATTTTTATATTATTTATATTTAGAACTTTCGGAACGTTTTTCAGAGAAAACTATAGACAAGTTTCTGGGGTTTGAAGGAACATCAGAAGGTTTCATCATCCAAAATAACAGGGTTACATTATATCTACATAGTGGTAATATACTCGTACCTACAGTGCTATTCATTACGAAGTAGACATAGGGATTTATGTGCATTGTTTTCCCTATGTCTACTTTTAAATGATAAAATCTCTTCTGAAGGGCCTAATTTTAGGCAACCAAAATAACTTCTATCACATTAATTAATTTCAATATTGTTGCTTTGGGTTCCGTATTTTTTTTCGTGCGTGTGCGATGTATTCAACTGAAGAAGTTGATACTGTCAATGGTATAGTGCCGGAAACAGTGTAAGGAGCGTAAAATATTTATTTTCTGTTAGGCAAAAACAACAATATTCAAACTAACTAATACAGATGTTTATTTGTTATTTTAGATGCATAAAATTAGGCGCTCTTCAGAAGAGACCTTGCCTTTGAAAAGTAGACATAGGGCAAAACGCACGTAAATCCCTATGTCTACTTCTTAATAACTATCGCCGAATGTCCATATTTCTCTAAAAATCACCAGTGTCGTCACTAACTTCCTGATGAATTAGTTTACAAGCAATAAGGAGCATGATCCACGTGCTCGCATTTCATTCCGATTTAATATTATGCACCTACACGCCACCACCCCATCCCTTTCCCGTTCGAATTGTTTCGATCATATTGCACGAATTAAATGGCAATTCTAAAGCCTCGCTGAATACATTAATAAATATCTGATGACGGTGACGCTCCTGCCACAGCCATATGTGTTACCGACTCACAGTAGTAGCTGCCCCCGTTCTGTACACAAAAGACGATCCGGCCCTGATTTATTCGCCTTAATTAAAAAATTTCGCCTAATGATATCGCGCGCGAGTGATGTTGTCCAAATGCGGTTACCGTATTTTGGGGACGAAAGTCACGAATTGCCCTAACATACGCGACCCTCGCCGCATCAATCACGGTTAAAAAGCTGCACGAGGGATGAATAAAGACTCAACGTGTCATGTGCAACATATCCGCTCCCTCGACTTACATTGTGTTACAGGTGACTCCATATTGTTTTATGATTTTTCTTTGGGGGATGCGATTGCGGATTGATACCGATCGCACTTTAATACTAACGTATCGCTTTTCTCAAAAAACCTGGTGGCTGCCCCTTGATCCGTATTACCATTGTATTTATATTACCTACATTTAATGCTGTTTAAGTGAAAAATTCAATTCCTGTTCGATCGCCAATATTTATTTATTTTGTCATCAAAACCACGTATAATCTTTGCCTTTTTGTCAAATTTGCAACATTTTTTTTGTCCCAATTTTATGGATAGTGTTCCATTTCAGTCTTATTGACCTCCATCTCTATCTATGCACACTTCACATTTTGGTATTATTGGTTGCGCATGGAAAATAATGCTTTATTTTGTAAATATGGTCCAATAAAGTCAGTATTATATTATTTTTTGCATGTATTTAACTTTAGCTTCCACCCTATAGACTATGCTATTACATAACGTGACTCTCAGTATTGGTGTGCGTGCGTGCGCACATTTTGTTGTGAATTAGGGTACTGCCATCTCAGTCTATTTCCAGGTTTAACGTGTGCTTTCAGATAATGGAAGGACGACCGGTGGCTCAAGGCACTGTTTTGCTAGTACCAAATTATAAATTGGATAGTACTTGAAGAGTACTTAGTTTTTATGTAACACATTATATCCTTAACTCTGATGATTTCGCTGTTATAATAACCTTTTTTCCTCAAAATTTGACCGCTTTTCGAATTTTTTCAAAGAAACTAAATCGCATCGGTGGCTAAGTTTTGAATGGAAGCACAAGCTGAGACCTCTTGCACTTTCACATAATTTTGTTAAGTCGGTTCTCGAAAAAGAAAATGTTTGATTGAATGTGGAAGGCCNTCAAAAGTTACAACCTTTTGAATTTTTTTTCGAAATTTGTTTTTTGTCCATAACTTTTGATTGAGAAGTCTAATCGATAAAGTACGAATTGTTTTGGATTCTACGCACCAAAATTAATAAGAAAATGTGTTTTCCCGAAAAATTTTGGTGTAGTAGATTTTTGGTAAAAAAGGAAGGTTATACACTGCCTTTTTTTGAGGCTCGAAGAAAAAATTGTCTCAGATCGACCAGGAAAAAAACTTTTCTTATAGAATGTGGTCTGTAGAATCCATAATTTCAAACAGTTCCAAGATTGAGCTACTAGTTCAAAAGTTACAGCCTTTTGAATTTTTTTTCGAAATTTGTTTTTTGTCCATACCTTTTTATTAAGGGGTCTAATCGAAAAAGTACGAATTGTTTTGGGTTCTACGCACCAAAATTAATAAGAAAAAGTGTTTTCCCGAAAAATTTTGGAGTAGTCGATTTTTGGTAAAAAAGGAAGGTTGCACACTGCCTTTTTTTGAGGCCAGAAAAAAAAAATTGACTCAGATCGACCCGGAAACAAATTTCCTTATAGAATGTGGCCTGTAGAATCCATACTTTCAAACAGTTCCAAGATTGGGCTACTAATTCAAAAGTTACAACCTTTTGAATTTTTTTTCGAAATTTGTTTTTTGTCCATAACTTTTGATTGAGAAGTCTAATCGATAAAGTACGAATTGTTTTGGATTCTACGCACCAAAATTAATAAGAAAATGTGTTTTCCCGAAAAATTTTGGTGTAGTAGATTTTTGGTAAAAAAGGAAGGTTATACACTGCCTTTTTTTGAGGCTCGAAGAAAAAATTGTCTCAGATCGACCAGGAAAAAAACTTTTCTTATAGAATGTGGTCTGTAGAATCCATAATTTCAAACAGTTCCAAGATTGAGCTACTAGTTCAAAAGTTACAGCCTTTTGAATTTTTTTTCGAAATTTGTTTTTTGTCCATACCTTTTTATTAAGGGGTCTAATCGAAAAAGTACGAATTGTTTTGGGTTCTACGCACCAAAATTAATAAGCAAAAGTGTTTTCCCAAACAATTTTGGAGTAGTCGATTTTTGGTAAAAAAGGAAGGTTACACACTGCCTTTTTTTGGGGCCCGAAAAAAAAATTATCTCAGATCGACCCGGAAACAAATTTCCTTATAGAATGTGGCCTGTAGAATCCATAATTTCAAACAGTTACAGCCTTTTGAATTTTTTTTCGGAATTTGTTTTTTGTCCTTAACTTTTTATTGAGGGGTCTAATCGAAAAAGTACGAATTGTTTTGGGTTCTACGTACCAAAATTAATAAGCAAAAGTGTTTTCCCGAAAAATTTTGGAGTAGTCGATTTTTGGTAAAAAAAGGAAGGTTACACACTGCCTTATTTTGAGGCCCGAAAAAAAAATTGTCTCAGATCGACCCGGAAAAAATTCCCTTATAGAATGTGGCCTGTAGAATCCATAATTTCAAACAGTTCCAAGATTGGGCTACTAGTTCAAAAGTTACAGCCTTTTGAATTTTTTTTCGAAATTTGTTTTTTGTCCATAACTTTTTATTGAGAGGTCTGATCGAAAAAGTACGAATTGTTTTGGATTCTACGCACCAAAATTAATAAGAAAAAGTGTTTTCCCGAGAAATTTTGGTGCAGTCGATTTGTGGTAAAAAAGGAAGGTTATACACTGCCTTTTTTTGAGGCCCGAAAAAAAATTGTCTCAGATCGACCCGGAAAAAAAATTTTCTTATAGAATGTGGCCTGTAGAATCAATAATTTCAAACAGTTCCAAGATTGGGCTACTAGTTCAAAAGTTACAGCCCTTTGAATTTTTTTTCGAATTTGGTTTCTAGTCTATAACTTTGGATTGAGAAGTCTGATCGAAAAAGTACGAATTGTTTTGGATTCTACGCACCAAAATTAATAAGAAAAAGTGTTTTCCCGAGAAATTTTGGTGAAGTCGATTTGGTAAAAAAGGAAGGTTATACACTGCCTTTTTTTGAGGCCCGAAAAAAAATTGTCTCAGATCGACCCGGAAAAAAAATTTCCCCTTTCGTTATGATCTCTCCTCTAGTTTCTTTCATCTTCCCGGTTGGAATTAGATTTCTTATTCCATTTTATAATTTCCATTATAAATTTTTACTTACTTTCATTATGTAATAAAAATTTCTTTTTAATTTATTAATTACTTATATTATAATTTATTAATTTTAATTAATCTCTTTTACTTTTCCTTCCAATAGTTTGTAGTTTTTTTTGGCTCCTTTTTATTCATTTATTTCCTTGTTCTCTTTTCAGTCCCCTTGTTCTGACGCTATCCTTGTTTCCATTTTATATTTTTTAGGTCTTTCTCTTGTATTTCTATTTTTTAGGTCCATGTTTATCTTCTTATTTCTTTTTCCATTTCCATTTAATTTTTTGTTAAGGCGTTTTCGAACTGATGTTGCAAGGCACTATTATTGCCACTTTCTTCGTCCTTCCGTCCGTCTGTCCGAGGCCTTAACTATTCCGACAGTTTTCAATATGTTTGCGTTGTCTTAGAACTTATTTGATCAATATTCTTTTGGTCAAACAGTAATTCTATTTCTCTCAATTCAGTTCAAGTTTGGGAAGGAAACGAACTGCTACGAAAACTCGATTTTCATTTGAAATGGTGATTACAAGCGGGATCGGATTAATTGAAAATACAACTACGCTAAGAAACTACTCCAGAAGGTGATAAATATCAAATACGAGTCAGCGGGAAACGATCTAAAGTCCGTATTCTGGCTGAAAACCCCCCTAATATTAACCACGGCACGCGACGGTTGAAAAACATATTGCATTTAGGGAGGCTGCTCGAGCAATATGCTCTCTCGGAGAACTGTATTTACCCTAATCGCCGTCACACATATGGGAGTTTAGGGCTAAAGCCCCGAAATTCCTTACAATTGAAATTGAGATATATCGCGTTTGGGAAAAAAAAATTCGAGACTCGGAAAATCGGAAAAACTCACCTGTCGTAATCTATTCGACAGAACAGCTTGGAGTCCTTTACGAAGCAGGTCTGGTAGAGGCGATCGCCGCAGGCGTAGCACTGCAGGCAGCGTTCGTGATAGGAATTGTCCACGACTTGCAAAATGTAGCGATCCCTTATAGGTCTGCAGCAGGTTCCGCAAATTCGGCCGGCTGCTGGAAAGAGTAGCTAAATTAAACTGTGCATCGGGAGATTTTCAATTTTCTTATTCCACAAGTAAAAGCTTCATTTATTAATGAGCAACCCCTTCGATTTTCACTAAATTTTTTTTTGCTTTCGACACGATTCCGAGGACATTCCCGCACAAAGACTGCAAGAAGATGATTCTATGAAAATTCCAAAGATTCTGAAGATTACATTCCAAAACTTTGGTCTTCTACAAAAAAAAAGCCACCACCCAAAAAAAACTTGGCCAACAAAAGGCGTCCGGTTCATCTGTTTAAAACCTTTTCCATTGACCACCTTCCTTAACAAAATAATGCGCGTTTTCAAAGATCGAATTGCATCTGTGTTTCTTAAACGGCAATAACACGTGCTTACCTTGAAACCAATTACCGTACACAACGTGAGGTCATAATTGAACGTGGAACAGAGGACAGAATTCAAGGTGAAATGGAGGGCTGATTTTAAGGTCAAAAATAGAGGGCAGAATTGAAGGTGAACATAAATGAAGATAGAATAAAAGGCGAATTGAAAGGGAAATAGAAGGAATAATTAAAAGGGGCAGCATTGAAAGTGAAATGGAGGGTAGAATTAAAAATGAAATAGAGGGCATAGTTGAAGGTGAAATAGAAGGCAGAATTGAAGGTGAAATCTCAAAAAGATCGAAAAGGTATTTCGATAGTTTCAAAGATTTTCTAGAAAATCTGACAAATAAATTCTTAGAAAATTCAAAGAAGTTTCTATGAAGATTTTCATGAAAACTATATAAACGATTTTTGAAAATTTTAAGAGAATTTCAAAAAATCCTAAAAGCGTTCTAGAAAAATTCTACTAAAATTATAAGAGAATTCTATAGACAATTTTTAAAAAAATGTTAAAAACATTCTGCAAGATTTTAAAAATATAGGTCTTTATATAGTGTTGTGTAAACTACGATATCCGTACGTTTTGGTTGGTTTCAGCACATACGGTAATATATTGGGTCACACTGTATGTTTAATTTAAAGTATTATTAAAGCGAAATTTGATATTAAACGCAAATCCGACCATTAAATCAATTGAAGTCGAGAAGTGAAGCCTTGAAGCAATATCACTTGGTGTTTTGTGTTTGTTTGTGCGTCATTTATCGTAAATCGCAGTTACGACCGGGGATTTTAGAATATTGATACGTCAATGTAATTAAGATTTCTTTAATTAATTAGTCTATAGATCGCTTGTTACGTGGAAACTGTTATTCTGACTCTGAGTGGCTATTTTTCTTTCAGCTTATTTACTTGTTTTATGTTGAATAATCGCGTGAAACTGTGAATGGTTGATTTTGTAATTAATTGAGCCCAAATTACGACCCAGATAAGAGTTTTCAAGTTAAATTTTTCTATTTCGTACCTAGAATTACATCAGAGGTTAATTGAATATTTGTTAATTTGTTGTTTGGAATTTTAGAGGCATCAGGGGCTGGTGAATTTCTGAAATTAAAGGTTTTTTTTAGTACTTGTACTAAATTAAAAACCAAATTTCCAGTTCCTAATTTCGAGAAACCTGAAGCCCAGTTTGTTCCTGATTCAATTTCGGCAACCCTCTTTCCATAATTCACCTTCAACGAGTAATCAAATTTACCAACCGATGCAAAAGGTCCAAACTGTATGGCATAAGGCGTTCCACCATCCAATTTTCCGAATTGTTGCTACCTTTCAAAAGGAGAAAATCAACTGTAATTTGGAGAAATTCCCTCGTGAAAGCTGCTGCCTGGTGCCCAAATGATTAAATCGAAACCCCAATACCGATCCTCGAGTTTTTAAGGGCGAATTCTAGAGATTTATGCAATAATTGTCACGATTACATAATTGGGTTCAGATCGAAATCGAAAACATCAAGACGAGTGTATGACTAGAAGCTTGGCCGTCAAATTAGCAAGCCACCTGCGGTAAAACTCCATCAATCTTTTGACTCCCGATGCGGTATTAACATCCCTTATAATCTATAACATTAATTTTACGAGTCCAGCGCAGGGGTACTGATCTAAAATGTAAATCTTTTGTTGCACATTTAACTCTTTTAAATCGAAATTTCATGCAACGTCATACTTGTCAGAGTTTAATAGTTTAGTGTAACGCTAACCCTTCGCGAGAGGGTGTCACACAAGTGTTCGATTCGTAAACTAAACTGTTTATAAAAATCGCGATCGTATTAGTAGCGGTATTGATTTAAATTGCATTAGCGTTGATTTATGGGGTGATATCGTTTGTTCTACCCTGCGTTGGCCAATATGAAGACGGAATCACCTGTAAGTAAACGAAATTATTTACGCTCCGCAATAATAACGGGGCTGTCTCCTATATGAATCAATTAATCACGCTTCAGCTAAGCTCAATAATCCCCTACAATCCGATTACTCGCCTGTTTGCCCATTAAGTTCCACCCCATCATCTAAACTTTCTAACAACTTACCACTATTTTTAATACTCATTTTTTATACATATAAGGAGCATAATGGTGGTGGCACTTTGTGTTTGTGTTCTGTTCCATGATAAAACAGTTGCGCTCAAAAACTGCTGCAAAAGAAACTTGGGTTATTTGTGAAGTGGAAGCCAGTTTCTGGAGCTAAATCCTCATAGTAGCCTCTTAGCATAATAGCGCTAAATATCCTATTATTCCTATTTTCGGTTTTTAATTTGATTAATTTGATTGATCGAATTAAGCGAATTTAATTGAATTAATTTAAGTATTTCTTTGATTCTTTGATCAATTAATTAATTCTGACACGTGATTTAAAAGGAGTGAAAAAAGGAGAGAGAGATGTCATATTGCAAAACATAACAATTTTTTTTTATTTTACAAAGCGTTCAAATAAAACAAAAATGGTTTGGTACTTACGTATAACGTTTTTCTAGATGATTTTGAAAATCCTACACAATATTTACATGGGAAAGAGATGCACAGTCAACAATATCACTATAATCGCGTAAACTTTAGGAGATGATAAAATTGGTAATAATACGCGTTAACGCGTCTGCGAACTATTGAAAACTAACAGGAAGTAATGTGAGCAGGGTTGTACCATATCACACCAAAAACGGTCCAGTTTTCAATTTTTCGTGGAAGGAGCATTTTTTCTATCATTCGTAACCTAAAGAAAAAAGCGATATCTGTAAGTTACTTTAATTTTTTATTGTGTAAAGTATCTGCAGGTTGTCCTTAAGAATTTTCAGCATAATCCTAATATCCATAAACCTATCTGAGAGAGAACGGAGACATGGCTTAAAGAAATCGTACAAGTAGAGGCGAAGGTAAAAGAGGCGAGAAATAAATAAATAAACCCATAAAGAGCGTCTAAAAAAGCGGCGGGGCACATCTGCGTGACCCCACGGAGTCATTGGATTTGGCCCATTTTCAATTGGCTTGTTACATGTGGCATATAGGTCAACTGTGCAAACTTTGAACCAAATCGGTCCAAGCGTTTGATAGTTATCGTGTTCACGGACAGACGGACACCATCGACTCCCCTATAAAGCTCGCATCACTTTGCTCTGCCGCTTAATAAGGTAGTAATCGAGGAACTAACGTTGGAAAACAAGAGGGAGGAGAAAGGGAAAATTAAACGGGGGCGGGGTATACATAGATGGGGAGTTGACATATGAAGAAAGAAGGGTACAAATAAGGGTTGCGGGAAGGAAAAGAGGAAAGGGGCAAGGGGATATGAGAAACTAATGGTAGAAGATGAAGAATGCAGATGGAGTACCAAAAAAAGGATTAGTGAGAACAGAGAGGAACGGGCGGAGTTTGGAGAGAGAAACTAACCGAAAAAGAAACGATAGAGGGGAAGGGGGTACAGATACAAACAACAGAAGAAAAGAGAAAAGCGAAATAAAGGTGGAGAAGAGCATGATATTATGGAATGTAGGGGGGGGGGGAGCTGGTAAAGACTCTCAAGCCTGAGAGGATATGATGTCGTGGGGATGGTAGGATCATGGATAGCCGAAAAGAATCCGGAGAAAATACAAAACCGGATTCCGGATGAATATATACGGAAGAAGTGGCGAAGAACCAATTTGCGAGGAGAGACAATATAAAAGGACAAGCAAAAGGAGGTATATTAACAAAGGTAATCGAAGGGGATAAAGGAATAGACGAATGAAACAAAAGAAGAAGAAGAAATACAGGTCAGATTAGTTGAAGTTGAGGGAAAGAAAATGAGAGTGATATCCGGATACAACAGAGAAGGAATGAAGAATTTAACAAATAAAGTAGAAAATATGGTAGTATGGTCTAAAACGGACGATAAGATCAAGAGCAGAGAAGGATACAGTTATGGACAAGAGGCATGGTGTAGCTGTTATAGAGAGAGAGAGAGAAAGAAAGAAGAAGGAACATAGAGGAAAGGAGGTAAGAGAACAGGAAATGTATAAAGGGAAAAGATGGAAAAACAGAAAGAATACGAAGAGCAAATCAGGGAAATAGTAGAACAGGAGGCGATAAACAAAGGAAAAAGAAAAATTGAACAATTGAAAGGGAAAATTCAATTAGAGGAATGGAACAACATTATATCAAGATAAGCATGAAAAAGAGGAAGCTACGAAAGAGGTGGGAAGAGAGGAGATTCAAGGAGATGAGATAACCAAGATATAAAATCGAGCATCAGTGAGGCTTGGATATGTGGCTTAGATTTGCCGCAGATAGGCGTCAAGGAATGATGAGAAACCTTGGTAAACAAGATACGGGCAAGGAGGGGTTCACTTGAAGAACGGAATGAAAGGGTAATAGTGCCGATCTTCAAAAAAGGCACCAAATATTGTGTGGGAAACTATAGGGGAATTACTATAATGACTACGGCGTATTGAATCTATGCAATGATACTGAACCAGATGCTAGAAAGAGAGAGCATGTTGGAGGAAGAACAAATATCAGAAAAGGGAGGGCAACGATCGACTGCATGTACATATTTCACAAATTGATGAAAAAGGAATTGGAAAATAAGGGCGGAAAGGTGTTTTTC